AATCTACCAAACGCTCGGATCTCGTGAACCGTGGGAAGAGAGTGAGAGAAGCCGAGAGGTGATAGGAGTGCACCGAGCACTAAACCTTAAACCTCTAAACCCGCAGCCCGAACACTGGAGTCGGGACTTATCGCGGGTCTGGCTTAGAATCCAATCCCTGAAGGCTGATATGAGTCGATAAGCGACCTTTCGCTGGTTGCACCTTGATAGACTTGGTGCATTCACAGCGGGATTCTTGAAGCCTGTATAGAGGTTTTGGGTTCATGCACTGGAAGCACTGTGCGCAGCGATCGAACAAGTGTGTAGAGGGACAGAGTCCCTGAGACAGCAGTACACAAAGACTTAGCGCGGTGGATCCGAGCTGAGCTAGCTATAGCCTGGGAGTAGGATATACGATGTACGTCCTCGGACTTGTTCTGCCTGAAGCCTTTGAGCCAATTGACTTCCGGGCGAGATGGGCAAGGGAAAAACGGAATTGAGCTCTGGCAACTCAACTTGCCGGTGAATAGCTAATTCTAAATCGATCACGGAATCGATGCCAATCTGCGCAAAATCCTGTGCGAGGTTCGAATCCTCGCTCATGTATCTCTGCATTTTAACGTGTCAAGCGTTGGCGCTGACAGGCCCTTAACTAACTTAAAAATCTATTTCACATTTCACAACATATCGCGAGTATCGGATATTTCATGCTTAGGAAAAGCGTAGCTTCTCCGCGGTTAAAACCGTACCAGAGAGTTGTCTTTCGGCGAAGCCTGGTTTGAAATAGCGATTGACACAATCGCTGCCGGCACAAAGGGACAACCTGAGTTCTTCAAGCTGTCAAGCTAGTCACACAAGCCAGACTGCCTTGACAACCTGGAGTAGTGTATGTGTTAAGCGTGATATTTTTCTAACCGAGGTCTCCGATGTAGGTCCTAGAGGCACCCCAGGTAGCAAGTGGCTTACGACAGAAGCTTACTATCCTGAGCGTCCTTAGTATTGCCATCACCAACACGTGTAGTTGACCATGTGTATATTTTTCAACTACAATAACAGTAATTTTAAAAACATTAAATTCCCCCAAAAATCCTCAAAATTCACCGAAAATTCCTCAAAAATTCCACAAAAATTTCCATAAAAATTCTCAAAAATTCCCCAAAAATTCCATCCTATTCACCTGAGTGGCGTCGGATTCTTATATTGCAACTTTTCGTATCCTTCGAGATCCAGCGAAAAGCTCACATCATCCGAGATGTGCCAATGCAAAACGTTCATCTGAAAAGGAAAAAATACTTTCAACAAGCGCAAGAGTTTACATACGAATTCTGCTACAAGTGTACAGAAATAACCAATGAGAATTTACCAAAATTTTCTCATAACTTTTCCATTCACACCAACAAGTGTGTATACTCCGACATTATGTCAACGCAGGAAAATAATGACGGTGGCGCGATGCAGTAAAAACGCAGTTGAAGCTGATACCCCAATATAAATTACTATAACCATAATAATTTAACATCATAATAGACGCATTAACTCCAAAACTCACTTTCGTCCAGAACATTAGTTGAAGATTCTTTATTATAGTTTCCACTGATAAATATCTTCTACCAGTGTCCATCAGCATGCCTCTATGTGGGAATGACGGAAAGTCATAAATGGTGAAACCAGAATCCAATAACTTCGGCATGTCCTCGGCGTTATTGTGAGCAAGTTGCACCTGAGATAAAAAAACAAGTGTGCGTTGGAGTAATAATATATGTTCGCTTTTTATTTATAAACTCAGAAGAGTTTATAAATAAATTCGGGTAGAAGTGTACAGAGGCTAACAACAAAAATTCCCCAAATTTTTCTCAGAATTCTCATATTGGCCGATAATACAATTTTTCCCGCGAAGTGAAATGTGAAATATGTTTTTCACTAGTGTTTTTCATATCACTCCAACATGTCTTCGAGACGACTTTCATCCCTTACCATCGTTCCCATACCATACAATGCTCCACTTCTAGAACTTGCATGCACACTGCATTGCTGCGATGATGTGCATGTGATCCTATACCCCTCGTCCGGTAGACTATCATTATACTTGACTCCAACTCTCACTGAATGGGATGCTCCTGCGAAAGAAAATAACCAAATATTCAACATCAACTCTTGTGTTGAAGTTTACGTGGCGTCGTAAAACTCGGTGTGAAACGCGATATTTGAAACGGTGATATGCAGTAGTCGTGAAATATGTTCTTCATATCACTAGGGTGGAAATCCAGTAATTCCAATATTTTACTTTTATGACGAGAAGTTAAAACAGTGAGATAAAACGTCACAACTTCGGAGGAAAATACAACAACAACAACGCTCACCCTGAAAGGATCGACGATTGTTATAATTCAACATAGTCGTTGCGAAGTCCAAATCCTCTTGCATGATGGGACTCTTCTCGTCGTGATGGTCGTCTCCTTCTAACTCGAAGTGGAAGGAGTAGACAGTAGCAGGATGATGGTCTGAGGAAAAGAAGAAGACAGTAACAATAACAAGAATGACAATACCCATATTATCAGTGGTAGTTCTCGGGTTGATAATAATAGCCTTCGGAAGAGGCCATATCATCAACTCGGGCTCCTTGGGAATACTCACTTCACCACTGACGATAATCGCCAACAACCTACCCACTAAAATATATGGAAATTCTGTTGGCGGAATTCTGTATAACATTTCTACCCGAATTAGTTTATGAAACTCCTGAGCTCAACTAATGAGGAAAATACTTACATTGTAATCATAGTCTTCATCACCATCAGCGACGATTTCATTTACTAACCAACTGGGAGATGAAACAGTGGCACTAATCTATGTGCACGCATGCACATTCATACTCCTAAGCTCAGCTAATTATGAGAGCGAGCATGTATTCCTCCAAAAACCATATTCAACGTCGTTCAACGATTTATCAACGCGATACCATAGTTAAGGGGGGTAGTAGAAAGAGTGCAAGAAACCTAAAGATCTCGTTCCAGTGCAATAATACTTCACGTGACGTGCGGCGGCGGCGGCGGTCACGTTCAGTCGCGTGCACCCTGTGGGTTCTCGTGACATGCGGAACTATGATCAGAACAACACTTACCTGCATTTCTCAACATAGGAGCTTCACCCTAGTGATATTAAAGCACTACTGACAAACATGTTTCGCATAGAACTTCGCTAAGAACGAATGCGAGAAGTTAATTCAACTTCATATCGCATCTTCCTCATGGAGTATAACGCCACTTCACGTAAAACGAAGATGAAACACAACAGATTGAAATTCACAATGATGACCAACATTCATATATAAACATTTCTTGCCTGTGCAGAATGGGAAAAGAGCGTAGCGGAGAATTCCAGAGCACCTTAATCTCGGGTACCTATGTTGGTGGATAGTTGATCTCTATTCTTCGAATTTCATGTTGTGCGCATCGTGGCGCCAATTCGGCGTCACAATCGTGTTGATGCGTACACATACGCGGTACTGAGATTGGATCATCATCGCAGCCATCTTGGCTCAAGTTTGTTGGGTTGCCTCAATGCCTAAGGAATCTGATAATCCCTAACTAACACTAGGAGAGATCACACGGGAACTCTGGGTCCCTGTATGCACACATAGATTAACGTATGCATGTACACGTGCGTGGCGCCGCCGACCAGACTCGTTCTATCCCATACAACATTCACGAGGCTCCTCAAGCAGAATAAACACCATAGAAAACGACTTAAAATGATTCCTATTGATATGATATTAAAGTAGACAATATAGTTCACACAGTTTGCGGCGCATTGGAGTTTTACCCGTGATGTACAAAAAACACCAGTGAAAAACCTCACATATCACTTCTATTACAATGAGGGGATGAATACAGATTATCACTAAATCAAAAATATGAGACCAAAT